AGGACGAAATCTCCACAAATAAAACGTGTTTTACCAGAACATCGACGAAAAATCATCCGCCGCCAGCCATTTTTTCTTCTGTTCTCATCCTAACTCTCGAACACAAAGACCAAGTAGAATACAGCAAACCAATTTCGGAGCGAATGACGATCACTAGAGTCATGCGTGATTTTTGGCGTTTTTCCAAAAGTTAAACCTTAGCGGGTGGCTGTTTTTTCTCAAAGTAAGGTAAAAACTTTGTTGCAAAGCCTCGAGTGACCAGACGCTTATGTGATGTGCTGTCCGAATCGTAAACAACAATCTGTCATGGTTGTACAAAAAAGCCATCGAGGAGACATTGATGAAGAAGGCATTTGGAATAGAGGATTCGAAACAGGAACTGATAGTTTCTATCGTTGATGTTCACCCGCAGGAGCAATGTGCTCGGATGGTTGCGACAACATCTGAAATGCATCGGCAAGAATTTGCGACTAAACCGTGTATGCCGACGTTTCGCTTTGTTTCTCTCCTCCTTCGAACTGGGTTCTTGTTTCTGTGTGTGTATTTTGTTCGAAAGGGAGCAAGAGCTACCTGTTGCCTGGTTTGACAGAGTACGCACGGTGAAAGCCGCAATGTGGAAGAGACTCCTCGAATTTATTTTCATTTATTTATTTACTTATTTATTTGATTGTGGTTGTTGAGGCACTCCCTTGACCCTTTGACTCAAACGTCTGTTGCACAAGGCACTTAGAGTATGTGGAGTTTTCGGGAAATACACTCATTTGCAAATCAGTTTGGTTTTCACGAGAGACTCAACTGAATCTCTTGTTTATGAGGAGTTTTCAGCAACCCTGTGAGTGATTTCCTTTATGTGGGGTTTTGTTCGGAGATGCTCTCGGTAGTCTGGCACAAGTCTGAACCGCAAGACAATAGCTATTATGGCTTTCTTGAGGGATCTTTATGGCCCGAGGACGCAAGGCATAATTATCTGAATTCTAATGTGGTTGTGCACAGTAGATGTCATTTGAACGGCGTCAGTCTTTTTCGTTTTGAAAGTATTTCAACCGTATTGAACAATACTCTGGTGGTTACCATGGGGGGCGATTACTTTGTGCAGTTTTTAGGGCCGACACTTTCTAACTCGTCCTTCCATTTTAAACTAGCAAACACATGGTAAGCCATTTTGTATTTTGACCGGTCATACTTACTTGTAGTGACTCCTTTCGTTTGCAGACACGAAACGCATTCTTACCTGTCTCTATCCCTCTCTCCTCTTAGTCGCCCATTTTGTTTTGGGCTCATTCTCTACGGAGCCTCACTCGGTGACCGCGAGGAGTTGATATTCTCGGTTGACCCGCCATCATTCTCCTGCGCGTTTTGCCGGACTGCAAGCGGCCTCACAGCTGTTGCCCCCTCAAACCGTTCGGTCTTGCCATCCGCAAACTACGATTGGGAACCGTCGACCTACGCTGCTCGTCCTGAGGATGCCGTCTGTTCAGCTCCGTCTTCAGTGGCCTCGGGTAATTTTTTGAAACACATTCGTTTCTTTTTTTTCATACTCGTGAGCAAACTCCATACTCTAATCTCGAGCTATTCAGTGGTATGGGTATTTTGGAACCGCAGGAATTCAGATGAATTGGGTTGGTTTAATTCAACGGGTTGATTTAATCTACAAACCGGTTCACTATGGTCCTTGAATTCTATCGTAACTTGATCTTCGGGCCAACAGTACTGCTTCGTGGTGGCCCCTTCCTTGTTCAGTAGAACCAACATCCTGAAATGGTGAGCCGGTTAGGTTGTAGGCATTCCATTGAAAGTCTTATTCTACTGAATTTTGAATCGATTCCGTCTGTGTGACAGTGCCTCTAGGGTTGAACGGCAGCTATACTCCGGAAGCCTCCAACAGCCGAACAATTCGTTTTGGGTACGTGACCAGTGTGTGAGTTGTTGGGCGAGATGGACCAAGTGTTTGGAGCTCGAATTTACTGACCGGAAGGTCCGTGCTTCGAACCCGGCCTCTGCCTATCGACTTCCCCTGTCTAGGTTTGGGCAACCTGGCAGCCCTCGTGCAACCTTCGGGCGGCATGGCAGCTAGGCACCAAAAGGGTGCTACAGCTGAACGATCGAACTATTACAGCCTGGCACATCCCGTAGGCCTATCCTTTGAAGAAAACGAGCGATGATTTCGTTGTGTGTTTGCATCGTTGCTGAATTTCTGTTTCTTGTAAAGATGTCTGCTAGCAGTCCATTCATCATGCACCGGTTTAATCTAAAGATCAAAGTCCAAACACTCAGGGGCCCTCAATCCATCGTCCTGTTTTTCTCCAGTTCTTGTTGAACGTAAACAACCCGCCCCCCCCCCGCACCTCAACTTGTTTTCCTGGACCACACAGGCGCGCACGAACATTCTTTGTTCGCTCCATTTCTTATGGGAACGTAAACATCCACGTGCGAATCACACTTTAAACAGTGACAGAAAAGCTTTGTGTCTACGCACTCTTTTGTTGTGATCACTTCGCACCGAATCGGTTATTTATGACAGATCTTCACGGCCGCCGGTGACCGCACCATTCTGTTGACAGCGATATTGTTTGCCTGTAATTTTTTATCGATCACACCTCACATTGAAAACTGCATTGATGCTATGAAAGATCGTGTGTTCGTGTATATCAGGAGCTTCCTCCGTACCAATTGATGGAATTCCAACGTAGAAATCAAATCATAACCGTATCGCCTGTACAACGTTTTGCAAAGTTGTCTAAGCAAGTATCCAAGGAGGGGGGGGGATCAAGTTGTTTTAATCATTGGGTGACAGATGTCAACCCGAGGGATGGATGTTACATTCCAGCGGGTTTCTTTCTACCTTGGAACTGCTTGATTCTTTTTTTTTCTGAATGCGAACACGTAATGTTCACTCTTTGATGAAGTGGATCGTTCCAACAAATCATCGTGTCGTACTACTCACTTTTGGACAGTTTTGCCGCTATGATCTAACTGTTTCGGATTTCGGGGGACCATTAACTCAAGTTTTGGTGTTACTGGAGCCCATCGACAGCCCTCGTGCTTCCTTCGGGTGGCATGGCAGCTAGGCACCGGAAGGGTGCTACAGCTGAAAGATTATTATTATTATTCCAGCTCACGTCTGAAGTAGGAGGCGAACAGACCCATGCTGAAACGATGTGGTGATCATTCCTCTTGGATTTCTAGTGGTTCGGAGCAGTCATGGCACTGGTAGACTGGGTCATTTCAACAAGAAAGTCACCTGATAAGTTATCCACCGAAAAGAGATCACAAGTAGCCAGGTGTGGATACCGAAGCTCATTGTCTAGGTGTGTTGGGAATGCTGAGAGCTGAATTCAGCTAAATAACTGGTGGAAATCGAACCACGAAAAGTTCACCACTCGCATCCCCTTTCATGTTCAGTCTATCAGTGTTTCACCCCTGTGCGTAATTCGGTATGTTATGAAAAAGAATCGTTCAGCTGCAAAACCGTTCCGGTGTCCAGCTGCCATACCAACCGAAGAAAGCACGATGGCCGGGATACTGCTACGCTGCCCAAGCCTAGACAGGAGAAGTCGAGAGGCAGAACGGGTCGGGTTCGAACCACGGACCTTCCGGTCAGTAGATTCGTGCTCTAACCCGTGAGCTTTCCTGTCTCTTCTTTCCTCCTTAGGACATGTTATTTCCACCGGTTTCAAGAATAGCAGATCTCCGTACTTGTCGATCGGGTTCAGAGCATCTCCACATGTCTTAAGACCGAGTGTTGCCGTGGTCTCAACCCGACACTGTGATAACATTTTTTGACCATGGTATGTCAGGCGTGGATTTTGGGTATAACAGGTTAGAATTAAACAAGAATCATACTTGCTCTGTCTAGATGACGTCAGAATGCGCAGCGTTCCCGGAGTTTTGTGGTAAGATTTTCGAAGGCCGTGTACTTCGTATGCGAAAGGATCTCTTCATCCAGATTTGTGTTGGATAGAGACGACTTGGTGGTAGTCAGTCCACGAGGCACAAAATCCCTTACCAGTCAGTTCACTCGCGTTGCTAACTGCCTTCTCCCCGGATGGGGACTGCGAGATGGGACAAATCAACGGTTTGTGACCCTGACAGATATGGCTGTGGCAGGCAGCCAATTGTGGTCTTGCGCACCCCTCATTTCAGTCCGCCCACAGGATGCATTTCGAGATGGGACCAACGGTTTGTGACCCTGACAGATATGGCTGTGGCAGGCAGCCAATTGTGGTCTTGCGCACCCCTCATTTCAGTCCGCCCGCCCAATGCAGTTCTTTTTTAATCGACCTACTTATAAGTAGCTCAACTCCAAACAAATTATGCCTACTCCTACGGCCGTTTTCCACTTGAAATGAGAATTCATGCACAACCGTGGTACATGGGCATCGCGAGGGTGTCTTTTTTCATGTCGTTACAGTAATTTGGGAGTTTTGTTTTCCAGTAATCATCTGCCCACTACCACAACCTCTGCATTTAGACTCACCTCCAGTTGAACACATCCATTGAAAACACAGTTTCCGGGGTGAATTTATCTGAGACGCTTTCGGTGGCCCAAAAACCAAATAGGCATCTAACGTAGGTCCCTGAAACACTTTTAAGCTGGCGCATTCGTTATTTCCACTGTCTGCTCTATTCAGGTTCTTGCCCGCGTCTCAGCCCATCCAACAGTGTCTCAGCAGAGAACTCTGCTCCCGGATTTCCATGTTCACACGCACCTCCGGCTAGTATGGAAACCATTTTTCAGCGCTGGCTAAGGTGCGTGCGTTTGCACTGTTGTAACACGCGAGTGGATGCCGCCAATGAGGAGGACTTGGGACGGCGACAGACGCATTTGCGCATCTATCGGACTCTAGAGGTCAAGGTATGTTCTCCCTTTCACTCACTCATTCACTCACTCACTCACTCACTCACTCACTCACTCACTCACT